TGTGTGTGTGTGTATATATGTGTGTGTGTGTGTGTATATGTGTATGTGTGTGTATGTGTATGTGTATATGTGTGTATGTGTGTATATGTGTGTATGTATGTGTATATGTGTGTGTGTGTGTGTGTATATATGTATGTGTGTGTGTGTATATGTGTGTGTGTATGTATGTATACGTGTATGTATATATTTATCAGTCTGGCGAGTAAACAAAAAAATTTACTAGCCAATGGCGATTCAATTGCCAAGGTGTTCGTAGAGGGCTGTAAAATGACCAAAGTTCAACTGTAGTATTTGTAGATTTGAATCATGTGTAAACAAAAAACATATTTGAACCATGTGTAAACAAAAATATAACCTAATAAATTACAATTAAGGCGTATTGAATGTTAAATTGTGTTTTAAACATAAAGTTAAGTGGTTATCATTACCCATTTTACTCTTAGTAATTTAATAAATTTCATCATTTAAAAGTTTAGTTCAGAAGTATCGTATCAGTATCGATATCGACGATACTGCCTTGAAAAATATCGGTATCGTTATACAAAATAAGTGGTATCGCCCATCCCTAGTCGCCGGATGAAGCGCTTGATGGGCGCAATCTCGCTCTTGCTCTGGTCGATGCATGCGCGGGCGCGCTCTTCAGGGAGAAATGCCCATATAAGGAGTTTCACCCTGGTCTACGTCATGAAGAGCCACGATCGAAAAGAAAAACTCTCCGAAACTTGTACGAACCCGGAAGTACGATTTTTGGCACAGAAATACTCCAATCATATACATCCAAATTGTTTTTTGAAACTTTGTCCATGCTTAGCATGAGAATCCAACTCTTTAACAGTGTAAACAACTCTGAATGTATGAAACAGCATTGTACCCCCCCCCCTTAATCTTTGTTATTTTAATGTTTTTTGACCTAAAAAAGAGACTCTGATGTTAATGTGTCTGCATTCAAGCATTTCAGTGGGCTTAAACAGATCACCCATCAGATTTAGTTCACAAACAACAATAATTACAATAATGAATCCTAAAATTCGACATTAGTAACCTACTTTTAACAGCATCAGACGCGCGCGCGCTCACAAGATCTCCCGGTTCTTACTTGTGAATTCAGTTCACTGGAGACTCGCTCTAAACGGTTCATTTGAATCAGTGAGTTGTCGACTCGAGAACAGCTGCAATCGGATCATTCCAATTCGTGAATAAATCGTTTGGAGCGATTTGCGAACCGATTTAACGGGTTAATTGAAAAGAATCAGTTCGTTCATGATTCTGCGTGTCGGAGCACGTGATATATTATAAGGAATAACGATATGTTTTATGAAATGTAGTGAAGTAAAAAGTACGATCTTATGCTTTGGAATGTAGTGAAGTAAAAGTCAAAGTTACTCAAAATAAAACTACTAGTCAGTTGGTACTACATTAATATAATATTGAAGGTTAAAATTAGTGAAGTTTTTACAATAATAAAGTTACAGTTTAAGCGGTCAGGGAAGCGGCCATGGCCAGGGATGTGGTCAAGGGAATGCACAGGAACCGGAAATCGGACATCTTTATGGCAGCGTCCGAAAGCTCTAAAATGCTGCCGTTGGAGGCAGCATTCCAAGGCAGGAAGGCATCAAGGCACGTCCGAATCCAAATTCTGCTTTACTTCCTGTCTCTGGAGGTACCTTCTTCTGATCGAATTTTGAAGGCAGCATAGATGTATCCTTCGCTGCCTTTGATATCCCACAATCCTGTGCGTTCCATTCCGTGACGGTTGAGCTAAAAAATAAAGACGGCATCTGAAAGTTGCGTTTGGTGGTCAGTTTGTATGTAAATGTATATTTCTGAATAACTCTTTGCACTTTTGATGTTATTTTGTAGTGAGAAATCAGTAATTAAATATTCTTTTAGCTATTACCAAAACTCGTTCTATTTTGTTGCGGGTCATTAAACAGTTATGCTGCCTCAGAATTCAGTCCGAAATTATAGGCTTAGATCTCTGCCACAATTCTGCATGCGAAAGATCATATTTTGAGCGCACAAAAGTGCTGAGTTTTGCGGAGAAAATGTTCGTTTCGCAAAGGAAAATATTGAGGCACAAATCAATTTTGCATTTAAAATAAGTTTTTGGATGTGTGCAGACCTTCTCTTTTGCCCGTGCAATGTTTCACTAGCTTGCTACCTTGATGCCCGCCCTCAGTGCTCTCTAAATGCCAACAGCTCGCTTGCTCAACACAACCCAGCGTTACAATATGCCATAATTCCAGCCAATCAGAGACGAGGCTGCTAAATTCTGATTGGCTGCCTTGACAACCATTCACAACATTTCTTGCATTACCACGACAGCAGAAGAGGAAAAATACAGTGCATGCATAATTATTATGCAAGATGATATTCTGATTATATATTTTTTTCCAAGCACATTTTACCAATTCCAAACAACATCAATCTTAATAACTACTATTAATCTTCTATTTAATCACTTATAATCTATATATTATTGTTCATGAAGGCTGGAAGTGAAAAACGCCTTATATTCAGGTGTGCATAATTATTAAGCAGGTTATCTTCTACAGATAAAATCTCGAGATGGAATAAAAATGAACTCCCAAAACGTACTGCCAGATTTTGGAAGATCAATTCTTCAAACAGTGGTACAAGAGGATGTGGTGCTGGTCCTTCAAGAGTCACTCTCAACTTATCTGTCTATAAAGCCTATATATATATATCAGTCTTCAAGTATTTTACTACACTTCAGTATGTGATTCTTATTAAGTAGGGGTCATTTTTTAGGATTCTATACTTAACCTAAGTCTCTGAGAACCTGGCACCGTGTACTTCTGGAGACTCCAGGTAGGTTGCAGTTCTGGAAAATGGTGGCGTGGAGACTAAATGGTTCCTGGTGATTTCACACCTAATTCTTCACCTTAATTCCTAATTCTTTTGCAGTTAACATGCATCTTTTCTTCTCCACATGTTTTTGACTGACCTTGCTGACCCACTGAGCATTTTGCTGTCCAATGGTTATGCATTAACTTTGCAATTTCTAGTATTGTATTAGTTTTGAGTATTTCTCATGGGCATTTAATAATTTTTGACTTTCAGTCTGAGTTAAATCTCTTTTTTGGCTCATTTTATCTATAAAAGAAAATCTGCTTAATTATGCACACCGGAATATAAGACATTTTTCACTTCCAGCCTTCATGAATAATTATATATCAATTATAAATGATTGTATTATTACAAATTATAAATGTATTATTACTTCGTTACATTACACCAATGTTGCAGTTACATTGGGAATCTCAAAGAGAAGGTAAAGCACAAGAAATGTTAGAAATCATTCATCTGAACACTGCTCATGGCCTAATAGAGCCTGTATGTGTGGGAGAGAAAATCATGAGATTAAATGCTAATTTTACTCACACTTCACTACTGGTAAATATTTACATCTGGCAGGTGAACTAGAAAAAGTAAAAATGTTTACTTTGGGACCAAGCTATAAACTGTGTAGGGCTGTCAAACGAATAATTGTGATTAATCACGTCCATAATAAAAGTTTGTGTTTACATATATAAATACACACACTTAAATAAATTTCAATTATTCATTTATTTTGGACGTGATTAATCATGATTATTCGTTTGACAGCCCTAAAACTATGTTGTGGTCATGAAGTAAGATTTAAAAAAAAAAATAATAATAAAATAAAAATAAATGAAATTACTATTAATTTATAAAAAAAATCATTAAAGTGATGACAGTACAATTATCTTTATAATTAAATATATCTAAAAATATCTAAATAATATCTAAAAATGAAACAACAACACCAAAACACACACACACACACACACAAATTAAACAAGTAAATTTACTACATAAAATGAGTGACCAGAGCATTCAAACTCCAAAATGGATATACTGTCATTTTATGAATTTTATAAATAAAAAAAGAAATGAATAACCACAAAAGTAGTGTCCACAGCTGAAAAAACAAATGAAATAAAAAGAATATACAAAATAAAATAAAATAAACATGAAAGTAGTGACCACAGCTGATAAAACAAATTATATAGGAATAAAATATAAAATAAATAACCATGAAAAATTACCAGAGCTGATAAAACAAATTAAATAAAAATGAAATATGAATAAATTAATAAATTAATGAATAAATAAATAGATGTAGTGACCACAGCTGATAAAACTAATTATTAAATAGAAATTAATATTAATAAATAAATAAAGCATGAAAATGGTGACCACAACTGATAAAACAATTAAATAAAAATGAAATAACCACCTAAATAAATAATTGTAGAAAACATGTAAAAAAAATAAAAAAAAAGGAATATAAACAAATAAATATGAATGAATATTATAATGAATAAATGAATGAATATTAAACTAAAAATCTAAATCTAAAAGTAATGTTATTGTTTACTATATAATGAATCCTTAATCCTTATTTTCTTCATTCTTTTCTTTAGGTTCCAGAGTTGGCTGGATTTTGGCTGATCTCGTTCCTCTTCCAGCTGCCTATCCTCCTCTTCTTCATCACTGACGAAGCCACCATCATCCGTCCTCTGGAGCGGGCCGTTCACTCTCTCTATTTGGGCTTCCTGCTGGGCGAGCTGCTGGCCTCGTTTCTGGCCCTGCATGTCATGACTCGCAAACTCACCCAGCAGTTTCACATGAGGCAGTTCGGCCCCATTCAGGGTCTCCATACAGCAGAAGCGCTGCCTCTGTTTGGACTGCCGTATGGGGGCAGGAGTGTGCTGCCTATGAGGTACATTCAGCCGCACTGACAGATGAGGCTCTGTGGAGGTTTTTAATGACACCTGCTAGTTAAAGATCTGGTCTTCCACCAATGTGACCTTTAGCAATAAGTGCACTTTTTGTAATACAAGTATGTTATGTGGTAAATCTACCGAAGTAAAACCAGGGGGTGTGGCTAGTTTTCACACAGGAAGTGTGTACTTTGGATCTGTAACAACTGAATGAGGTTTAAAGTTTAAACACAAAATTCAGAAAGTGCAATTACACAATGCACATTTTCTCTAAAACTGAAATCAACAGCATAATGAAGGCTGATTTTAACTTGAAGAAGTGAGGACCATGTTTCTAATTTTTCTAAAGTAGGCCGTTTAATGAAAGGATGCCATTGTGAAAACTTAGCCCATATAGTATGGCAGCATGCCCAGTTATTTACAATACACTGAAAATGTTACATTTTCAATATGAAACAATGAATATTGTTTTTGTAGTTACAACTTATACTTTTTTATACAGACGTGGCCTTTCAAAAATAAACCCTCACCGAGAAATTCACTGGAATAAATTATACTGAAATAAAGTATGTGTATGATTAGGAATTATACTACAATTACAAATGATAAAGCAAACAAGCAAAAAATATGCACTACAAAAGTTTGGGGTCAATGAGTGTTTGTTTGGGTTTTTTATTTATTTTGAAAGAAGTAAATTTTATTCAGCAAGGATGAATTAAAATCGATCAAAGGTGGAAGTAAATACATTTACAGTCTTACATAAGATTTCTATTTCAAGTATGCTGTTCTTTTGGACTTTCTATTCGTTACAGAATACAGAAAAATGCTTCACGGGTTCCACAAAAACATTAAGCAGCACAACTGTTTTCAGCACTGATAATAATATATATATATATATATATTTGTTTTTCTTGAGCAGCAAATCATCATATTAGAATGATTTCTATGAAGGATCATGTGACACTGAACACTGGAGTAATGATGCAAAAAAAATATACTAAAAAAATCTATTTTAAAATATATTCAAATAGAAATCAGCCATTTAAAATCTTAATAATATTTTACAATATTACTGCATTTACTGTATTTTTCATCAAAAAAAGTACAGCCTTGATAAGTAAAAGACTTCTTTTAAAAGCATTAACAATACTCACCCCAAACTGCATATAAATAAAATTATTACACACACACGCACGCACGCGCGCACAGTGTCATAATGAGGGGGACAAAACTGTATCACTGTATATATATCACTGATCTATAATAGAGAATTTATATTTCATATAGTAGTTATTCGTATAGATCAGTGATACACTGTATATAATACATATAATAATGCAAATGCAATAACAAATGCAAACATATGTGATATATAATATAGACACATGGTGGCGCTGTGAGACTGTTTCCCTCCCCAGTCCACACTGCTGCAGAGCACAGAATCACAGAATGACTCATCAGCCTAAACTCCCATGAGAACACAGACATCAGACTTACTCTTACACTCGTTTCTGAGACATGCAGACCTGCGTGTGTTTCAATGAACAGATTTGTAAAAACGAAGTACGATGTAAGAACAGTAAATCCAATTGACCGACTGAATGCAAATTCAGCTAACATACATGAAGCCTAGCTGTATACTGTATAATGCATTACAACTGCAAATACCTTCATGAAAGGTATTCATGGAATGTAATGCATTAAATGTTTGCAAAACTTGCAATCAGGCATAATACATTTGAATTCAATTACACTTTTAAAGAGCATAATGCTTTATAAAAGGTTTATACTATACAGATTGTTTCAAAGCAGCTTCACAAGCATAACACTAACAGTTAATGTTGCAAAATCCATCAGTTATGAGAATGAACTGACACATAAAACCATCTGATTTAATGCACCACACTTTTTAAAGCTATAACCATAACTGTGTACAACTGTGAACACATGACTGATTATAATGGATTACGCTTATGCACATAGGATCATGTACACATTATCCAAATTCATTATTCATTATTACAGATCATTAGCCAAATGATGTGTTTGTTTTAACAATTTCTGCCAGGTGGGACGTTCAACACACACACACACACACACACACACACACACTCATGTTTCATACACACATGTTTCACTCTCTGGAGATCTGAGGGGCTTTTCATGAGCAAGAAGATAAAAGTAACTTGTGCACCCTATTGACTTGTGTCTTACATTTGAGCAGTAATTTGGCAGTTCCTGGAGAGACAGAGAGTCTCTGTCAGTGTGCAGAACGCTGATATACACATCTAATTATTACAATAACAGATGGGAGACCTGTCAGCATATGCTGGAACAACATTATAATGCTAACGAAAACACTGGCGAGATTAGACGTTCGCCTCTGATTTTAGTTCTTATGATTTCTGTCAGCACTTCTGTTTATTCACCGTAATGGATGATATTTCAGATTGTTTCTTACAGATCTTTTTTCCTATAAATCTCTCCCTTTCCTGCATTCAGAGCCAGAGACAGTCTGGTTGGCAGTTGCTCCAGGTGTTGTGTTGTTTTTCATTCGCATTAAACAGAGTCTGGATCTGCAACGCAGTCAATTAAGAAGATAGAGTCTAGCAGTCTGGCTTACACTGGTTTTTGAGAACTACTCTCACAGCATAATTTTATTTTTCTCCATTCTTGTTTACATTTAAAACTGCTGCAGTGCTTCAAACGCGGAGAGGTTTCTATATCGCAAATCAAACTGACAAATTAAGTGGGTTTTATTCTGCAGAGGTGCAAGAGTTCTCTTATAGTCTCAAATGAATGTTTATTTTCTTTTGAGCTCACTGGTTTGGGTGTAAAAACATCAGTGTGTGTACATTAAAATCTTGTAATCATTCTTTTTTCATAGTTGGCTGGTTGTTGTTTTCTATAACAAAACTTAATACTGACAAAAAAGAATTACACAAAAATATATACACTATACAATAGTTAAATATTGCCAATTACTGGAAGACTTGTGAACTTATTCAAACATCAGATAAAACATTCCACATTACTCTCTTAAAAATAAAGGTTATTTATTGGCATAAAAGGTTCTATGAAGAACCTTGAACATTCATGGAACCTTTCAAATGCAGAAAAGGTTCTTTATAGTCGAAAAAGGTTTGTTGGATTTTTAAAATGTTCTTTAAAATGGCTCTTTAACTGTTCACTGAAAGGTTCTTTTGGGAACCAAAAATGGTTCTTCTATGGCATCACTGCAAAAACTGAGTGTAATACTGTTATTCAAGCAAGGATCCATTAAATTCATCAAAAGTGAAACATGTTAAAAAAAAATTTTCAATTAAATGTTGTTCATTTTGAATTTTTGAATCCTGAAAAAAATATCACGGTTTTCCCAAAAATATTAAGCAGCACGACTGTTTTCAACATTGATAATAATAGTAAATGTTTCCTGAGCAGCAAATCAGCATATTAGAATGATTTCTGAAAGATCATGTGACACTGAAGACTGGAGTAATGATGCTAAAAATTCAGCTTTGATCAGGAATAAATTCAATGTTACAATATATTTAAATAGATAACAGTTATTTTGAATAGTAAAAATATTAAAAAAAATATGAACTGTATTTTTGGTCAAATTAATGCAGTCTTGATGCATAAAAAAATATTTAGAAAAAACTAAAAGAAAAAAAAAATGATTCCGATCCCAAACTTTCGAACAGTGTAGTGTACCTGCCAAAACTACAGTAAAGTGACCTTCTTACAACAGAGACTATTGGATAAAATATGTGGAATAGTTAAATAGGTTTAAAACAATTAACTAATTAGGATATAAATGTCTTGAATCATATAGGCCTATGTTAACAAATCCACAAAGAAAACAAGAAATCTCATTTTGTTTCTCTTTTCTAATCTCTCTCATTTTGCCTATAGTTTCTTCTCTCTCTCGTCTCAAATGGAATCGTTTGTATAGTGCTCTTCTCAATACATATTTTTCCAAAGCTGCTTTACAAACAATAGCAGCTCACAAACCCTCTAGTAAGCAGCCAAAGGCAACAGAGTCAGGTAAAACCTCCCTAAGATGTTGAATGAGACGAGAAAGAAACCTCTGGAGAAAACCTTCTCCTCTGACTGATACTTAAAATCTCATCTCTTCTGTTTTCTCTAATCTCTTCTTGTCTCCTCTCTATCACAGCAGAGGTCATTATAATCTATACACTGTACATATGACTCTTAAAGGGATAGTTCACCAAAAAAATTCTGTCATCACTTACTAACACTGAATGTGTTTCCAAACCTGTACGAGTTTCTTTCTTCTATGCCATGGAACACAAAAGAAGATACTTTGAAACAAGATTGGACCCACTGACTTTCATTGTACAGTAAAAAACAAACATGAAAAAAAGAGAAAAATTCTTCAAAATATTGTTTGTGTGTTCCACAGAAGAAAGAAAGTCATACAGGTGTGTATGCAGGTAGGTAAACAACCAAGACAAAAATGTTCAGTTTTTGGTGTACTCTCCCTTTAAAATTTGTCTTTTGAGTTTACTTAAACAGTTTTAGTTCTTCCCATTTGAGCCATTTAACAAATCATAATTTCAGGAATCAAATAATTTACTCCAAAATTAAAAAGAATAATGGACAATAAGAACAAACAAAGAGGCAAAGTCCTGACTCACTGGAGCACTCACCATCAAAGAATAAAAATATAAAAAAAAGCTCTCGTAAGCCCTCAGTAAATATCCCTGAGTTAAAAACAACACTGAGAAAACACTACCTAAGGATAGCTTTCTGTTTACAGAGAAATCTTTATGTAAGGGATAACCCATGACTTGGTGTGCATTAAACGATTTTAATGCACAACGTGGAAGCAAAGAATCTCAGTAAAGTGCATTAAACTCATTTAATTCACACCTAGCCGTGGATTAACCCGCTTCCAGCAAGCTTTGCCAGCACTGACAAGTTAAAGCTGTCAATGATGTTTTCAGGGCAATATTTGACTGAAAGAGTAAAAATGGTTGTTTTAATCTTTAAAG